CGAGTTTTCAAATAAATGCAATATGGGTATCATTTTCGAGGTACTTGGGGGTGCTCATGACGAATATGGCACTAATTTCTAAATCCAAGATGGCGGACACGATTTTTTCAAAAAAATGCTATGTGGGTATCATTTTCGAGGTATTTGGGGATGATCAATGTGAATATGGCACTATTTGTAAATCCAAGATGGCGGGCACGATTTTTCAAATAATGGCAAGTTGGGTATCGTTTTCGAGGTATTTGGGGGTGCTCATTACGAATATTGCTTTTGTTTGAACTGTCGTGTTTGCCATCTTGGATTTAGAAACGAGTCCCATATTTGTATTGAACATTCCCAAACATCTCGAAAACGATACCCAACTTGCCATTATTCGAAAAATCGCGCCCGCCATCTTGGATTTAGAAATAAGTGCCATATTCGAAACCTAAAACCGAAAATGCCATAAGCAAACATTAAAGAAAATAACTGTTAAAATAGATTAAAAAATCGCTTAAGAATGCTCCCCTTTTAAGAAAATAAAATATTTTAATATAAAATATTTCGCTTGAGTTACGAAAAGAAAGACATATAATAAGCTATCAAAGTTGTACTGGTGGTGCCAACACTATAGTAGAAACAAATATATACTGTAAATTTGTTGCAATATGTGCTCCAATTCAAATAAAATTAATATAAATAATTATTCAATAAAGCATGAACGCAGAGCCGTTAAAAGTATTATAAAATAATTAAGTGTCCCAATCACTTACAGGAGTTAACGAAAACATTTAATGTTTATTCAAGTAAATATTAGTTCAAGATGCGCAAATAAATCGAAATTACAGGCACCACTAAAATTTACGTAATATAATTATTTTGATACAGAATAGCAAAATGGGGAGAAAAAAAATTCGTTACTTTGCAACACTTTCGTATCTTGTTGCCGCGAAATTATTTTTCTGTTTTAGTGAATATTTACATAAAAATATGAGTTGAAACGCATTACTTACTTGTGGAATGCGATGTTAGTGTCTATTTTATGTTTGTCTGTTGTATTTTTACACCCATTTACCGCACATTTCGTCATTTTTAGCAAAAAATTTTGGAGCTGTTCGCGGTGCAATATGACCTTGAGCACTAACAGCCCGCGCGCTCCTGAGACGCGTTTGGAACCCTCTAACTTGCCTCACTTAGCGTGTGCGGGCTAGGTTTCTATGCGTTATTATTCTAAGTCCAAAACCATCACGCCCCAAAACGAATAGAAAACGTACCGCATAGATGTACGCAATTGTATTGACGAGATATACAAAATAGTTGATTCGATTTATCGATACCAGATGTTTAAAATTGAGAAAAAGTAATAATCAGTACACCAAATAAATTGATTTATTGACTAAAGATGATAGTAATAGGATAAACAGCAAATACAGGATGGTTGACAATCTGTTTATTACTTGAACCTGAAAGAACTATAAAGTTAGATAACGTTATCTGTAAATTTAGTACTCAAATTTCAATAAAGGCAAATTGTAGAGGATATAGACCAGTAGTTCTGCATTTTACGTCAAAAGTTGGTTATATTTATTTTCATACACGAGATCAGCTTCAGAGGACAGTTTTTCGCTCTATAAACTCTTGCAAACTTTGTTAAATTTTAAATACTACTTGTTATTGCCAGACTGACGAGAATGGATCGCGATCTCGATCGATTTGAACTGTCTTCAAATACAATGTGTACCTACAATAATAAAACGTGTAAGTAGATTAAAATGGTTTTTTTTTTGGCAAGTCTGTTATCAAGGTTTAGAATTACTTAGATCACAAACAAATTAATGAAATCAAATTGAAATACAATTGTAACGGGCGTAGGCGTACCTAAGTGCTAGGCTTATACTTATAACAACTTTTAAGAAACTATAAGAAATTTTAATATAGCAAAAGAATGATGTAAATACTTCTCTTCTTCTCCACATGCTTGTGAAATTACACGCATATGGGACTTCCCGACCTATGTCTCAGCGTGATGGGGGCAGTGGCAGGGCGGTGCCCCTCAGATCTTTGCGATTTAAAGCTCTAAGTGGCACTGCAACTGTTACGGACAGGCGTGTACCTTATCATCAGGCGCACGACCCGTTCGTCCGTCCACTTGATATTATAAAAAAAAAAACAGATAAGTTTTCATTCGGCACAACAAACAAACAGCACCAATAATAAAATATTGCCAAGTTTGCGACTTTTTCACTGTTCACATTATTTTTGTTGTGTATTTGTTTGTATTTTCGAATAAATTAATTTGGTACCTAACTTCATATAATGTATTTTTTTTATACATGCTTAATGGATCCATGTCACATGTACTGAAGGACTGTAGATCGACGAAACCGAAACCTAGAACATGGTTCTCGTTAACTAAATAAAAAGGTGAATAATGTTTTCTATTTATTGCTATATAATATAATAGTTTCCTTCCTATATCATGCTCAATGATGCACATAACTCTAGTTGTTTGTCTCAAATAACTTAATTATTTCATCACACTGTTTTTGCAAAAATCTAATCTCGAAAGTGACTTTTTGTGGGTTGGTTCTAGTTTGCATAACAATCCCAATTGTGTATCCCTAGTCTCTGGTTCTTGTGTGACGTGTGTTGTTATAATGCATCAATCATTGTTTTAATTTTTAATGTCTCTGTGGTTTCAATGTTATTTTTGGATTCGCTCTGGACCTTTTGGAGGGAAAAGTGTCGTTTTTATTTTGACTTTCAATTATTTTGTGAAATCTAGTTTAAAGTGGAATAGGATAGTGCTATTGTACCTTACTCGAAGATTAAAACGCGAAATTATACCAATCTCGAACTAAATACCCGTATCGGCCCGTTTTAAGGAATCCCGAGTCAATCCAAGCACGCCGCCCATTGACTTACAAATAAATGGACGACGGGTCTAATACAAAAACCACGAAAACAAAATTTTAAATTGTAATGTCATCGCAGTATCGCGCTGTCAGTCGAACAAATGAAGACTAAAGCGGAGTGTCGCGCTCTGTCTTAGAGGATGGAAAAAAGTTTCCATAGTCTAAGCGCTCTGTATACGATTTTAGCGCCTTACAAGTGTGGACACTTTTTAGCGCGGACCCGACGTCCATACCATTGTAAGTCAATGACGCCGCCTCAAATTGCCTCTCCTCTTTGTGGCGGGCATATTTACAGAAACATAATTAAACTTCATGTTTAGGCTGATGGCTTTGCCAAAGCCTTAATAAATTTAAAAAAAATATTTTTTTTTTTTTACTGAATACCATGAGTACGATGAGTACTAAGTAGTCTGTGATACAACGTATTTTTCTTCCACGTATTTTTCTCATGATCATATTCATTATACATAATTAACCAATCAAGACTGGGTTGTTAGCTTGACGCGAATCGAGAGTCACTGCTTTAAAGTTTGGCACTGTTTGTCAGAGTTTTTATATTATATTTTAGAACCTGAATAAAATTATGTGCGGCGCTGATAAGAAGTTGGGTGAGATCCGGGCGCTGATCCTAGTGGGTGGTTATGGCACACGATTGCGGCCTTTGACATTGAGCAGACCAAAACCTCTGGTGGAGTTCGCCAACAAGCCAATTTTGATGCATCAAATCGAGGCATTAGTTGATGCTGGTGTCACGCAGGTACCTTCATGACGAACTCAGGAATTTACGAAATATGGATTCCGTAGTGGATATTAATAATTTATTGCTGTTTTTATTTGCAGGTGATACTAGCTGTGTCATATAGAGCGGACGACATGGAGAAAGAGTTAACAGAGCAGGTTTCAAAACTGGGTGTGTCCCTGACGTTCTCTCATGAGTGTGAACCACTGGGAACTGCAGGACCCTTGGCTCTGGCAAGGGAATTGCTTAGTGCTAGCCCAGAACCTTTCTTTGTCCTCAACTCTGATGTTATATGTGATTTTCCATTTAAAGAGTTAGCGAAGTACCACAGAAGTCACGGAAAGGTGAGCTATGCTTGTAGAAACTTAATGTTTATGTTACTATTTTCCTTAGGTCCTTATATACATCATGACACACCAAAACAGCTGTAAATGTACAGCTGTCCCGTTTTGGGCTTACTGCACCTTAATATTATATGGTAAACTGTATCCAGACTTTATGATGTAAAGTGACAGGACGAACATGTCGTGTCTGGTAGGAAGGGACTCTCCTGTCCATGACAGTTGCGGTGCCGCTCAGAGCTTTTAATTGCAAAGATCTGAGGGGCACCGCCACTGCGCCTGTCATCCTGAGACATAAGTTGACAAGTCTCACGTACTTGTAATTTCACCAGCACCTTTGCCCTTCAAAACCGTAACACACACAATTTGATATAGTGGTGTTGATTTGTTGGTTAAGATTAAAAAATTGCAATTCACCTATGGGAACATTGACTCATTTTAAGAATCTACTTGCAATTACAAGAACCGATTGTGAAAGTGTTATGTGCTTATCAGTATATGATAATAAAGTAATTATACATTATATGTGTCATATTCTTGGTTTATTTCATAAATTGTAGAAATTATGGAACAGGACTCATTGTATATATCAAAAGTAGTGCACTTTTGATATATACAAACGAGTCCTGTTCCATAAATTCTACAATATATGTTACTAGAATATGTGTATACTTTTTAATTGAATATTGTACCTATCTATATATTCTTTGTTTGGTGAAAATATAATGTGTTATTTTTATACAAACATGATAATGTAGCTAATGGAATCTATATTTCACTTTATGTTTAAAAGTATAAATTACTAGAGCCGTCCTTGTAGATTGAATTTCTGAAATATATATAGACAATTCAAAGCCAAAATGGGATAATAGACACTTTTAGTCATATTGAGTTACATATACTGTTGGAATCAGAAAAATTAGCTGATGCCAACTATATAGTAGTGATCATTATCATATAATTATCATGCAATTTTATATTGTCCTCAGGAAGGCACTATAGTGGTAACCAAAGTGGAAGAGCCATCAAAATATGGTGTGGTTCTGTATAAAGAGGATGGTGAAATTGAGGACTTTGTAGAGAAACCTCAGGAGTTCATTTCTAACAAAATTAATGCTGGTAAGTGGTCTATTGTGTGTATATTACTGGTAGTGGGGTTATCTGTAAGTCACAGATTAGAACTAGATACAACCCAACTGGTTAACTATTACCAATATATCTATTACTATAGGACCAATGTATCTATAACTATAGGTCCACTCATTGACCTTGGTAGGTCAATGGGTCCACTGCTGTTTTTTTTTTGCAGGCTAACAGAAGCTTTTTACAGCTGGTTATAAACACTTTCATCATTTAGATCGCTTGTACTGTTTATTGCTGTTTATTGGTTTGAATACCATAGAAATAAATTTAAATGCATGGTAACATTTGTATTTTAATTCGCTTTATTATTTAATTTTCCAGGAATGTACATCTTGAATCCTTCAGTGTTAAGCAGGATAGAATTGAGACCCATGTCAATAGAAAAAGAAGTATTTCCATTTATGGCGAAAGATGGACAACTGCATGCCATGGAGCTTCAAGGTTTTTGGATGGATGTGGGACAGCCGAAAGACTTTTTGACAGGTAATATGTTTAGATTTTTGGCAGATTTTTTTAGATAGCAAATTTAAAGTCAAATTTGTTTATGCTGTCTATGATTGAAATCAGTTTGAAAAGGCAAGATAGTGAGTGAGTCAAGGCAGCTTGTGCCTCCGAACCACCTTGCAATGTTATTAGGTAGTAATTTTACATTGAAACTCTGTGTTATGTTAGTTTTTAAAAACATATATTTAGGTAAGTTGTCAATATTCTTGTCCTAGAACCGATAGTCACAGAAACACTTTGTGAGCTAAATAAATAAAGTTTATTTATGACAATTCTTGCATTATTTATTAATATTGCTGCTGATAATCGAACAAATGGACGCTAATTCGAACACAGCCTTTTGAATCATGTTAGGGCTCGTCAAAAAGTCTTGAAAAATATTAAGAAGTGTTAAGAGCGGTTGGCCACGACAACTTTTATCAGTGCGTCTGCAGCGATTTAGTCATATGCAGTAGCAATACAGACGTTAATCATCTACTTTTACACACACGCGATTTAAGCAGCGATACATAGGCCTTGTATGGGTATATGAGGTCAACCGCGCACATATATCTTATAAAAAAAAATCGCGATGCAAACGCGACGCAGTCGCTCGATGTCGATACACCCGCGACGCAAAAGATTTTAAATATGTGATCAGTCAGTCGACAACCACAGAGTGATCTGCTTGACTTAAGTTGATACAATTTTAATCAGGAATTTACAAAAGTTGCAAAAGAACTTCGTATGATTGTGTAACCATATCGTGTTGGGTCATGAAGAATAATGGTGTTTAGCGCAGTTTATGGCCTATGTAATTTTATATCTCAATCATGATGTTCATTAAGCATAAACCTAATCGCATTTAATTTTCAAGTCTTTTCTTCTTTACATAAACCTCAAACTGGCACTTTTTATTTTTATTTTTACATAGTATTCACCCGTCTGCGCCATTTTATCGCGATGCACACACGTCAAACATGAGCGACTGCATCAATGCAATCGCGCGTTTGCTTCGATGGTTATTAGTGGTGGTTGGTAGCTTATAAATCGCTAGTGCGATTCACTCGTTTTTATTGCTGCTAAAAGTAGCACTTTATACCGCTCTAAGAGTTACTAACAAAAATTAATAAAATCTCTGAATTCCTGTTAAACGTCTAGCCTATGATAATCTTGTATTGCTTTAGCAAATGCAAAATTCGAAAAATTTGAAGTAAATTTTTGACTCTAATAGCATTCTCGTTGTTAATGCATGCGGAACATGACTCTGACACTGTTTATTATTTTCAACCATTGTGTCATGCAGGAGAAAAAATAAAACAGTTTCAAGCGTCCGTGACTTATGAACTTACTTGTATAAATAAATTAATACATTGTAAATAATAAATTCTGTAGATAGGTGTCATCGTGATACACGTAGGTAACAAGTTTACTAGTTTGCCGCTGTTGCGAGCCTGCCTATGGTTGAAACTTTTATTTTGACCAATTAAAGCAAAGCTAAACTAAAAGCAGGGGATAAACAAAATCTATAAATAGGGTAGTGACTTTAGAAGCATTATTTATTTTGGAAAGTAGTCTAGGCAATGACAATATTGGAAATTCACAATAGTTTTGGCTATTGTAAAATTTATGTAATTGCTGTGTGAATATTGATAAAGTTTATAAATATTACTGGCACAAGTATGTTCATGTTGTCCCGTTAGGTTATATCTATTTTTTGTTTTATAAAATAATAGCGCTGCGCGAACTTACGTTTGCACCGTGTGAATTCAAATAGCATTTGTATCTTTCGATCCCTCAGCGAGCTACTATCTTGGACGTTTAGAATTTAAATCTATATGTGGTCAGCAAAAATAAAAAGTGTTGATGACATAGCTGTTCAGAATATTATGCTTAATTTTATTGTGAATAAGATATCGAGCTTTCCATTGATTCAAATAATCAAATGACATATTTGACCTGTATTTTAAATGGTTCGTCTAGTTTTCGCATCAGATAACCATTGGTTTTTTGTAAACCATTTCCTTTTGAATGAAATATTTTTCAGGTAGACCACTTTTTAAGTAGATTTTGTAGGATTGGAAAACTGCCGTCCGTTAACTAAGATGTCGCTAAGTGACAAATGGTCAAATATCCGTTTTAAATAGCAAAAAATAGAGCACAAAATTCTCTTTTAAAAATGGTTAAAATTAGTTACCGTGTTCGACTTATCGGAACTTACCCTAACGATGCATAGCTGAAATATTATTTAACAATTTAAATATTTTAAAACTGGGTTATTGTATTTTATGAAACCCCAAAAATTGTTTGTCACTTTAGAAAACATTTTCTCTTTGTTGTAATAATGTTTTTACGTCTCATTTGGAGACACCCTACGCTTTCTTTGATTCTCAAATATTCTTTGGGAGATTCTTTACTTCTCTCACGATTTCGTCATAAAAATAACTTGCACACAGAGATCAGCATATCGTTATGGGATGTCCCATTTTAGTAATTTTTTCTGTTTAGGTATGTGCTTGTACCTGTCGAGTTTGCGCCAAAAGAATTCTGACAAACTGCTCGAAGGATCGGGCGTGGTAGGCAACGTGTTGATCGATCCCTCGGCGAAAATCGGCAAGGGCTGCCGGATCGGACCCAACGTCACTATCGGCCCAGATGTCGTCATCGAAGATGGTAACGCTTATTACAATATGTACGGGTAGTTACATAGCTAGCATAGGCGAAGTAACAACTACAGGAGGTGACTAGGACGCTCATTATAAACAATTTAAATAATATTTCTACCACGTAGAAACGCTATATTGCGGTAAATATATAAATCACAAGGCGTAAATTAACAGAGCTGCTGTAAGCAAATAAAATTTTAATTATAAAAGAAGCTGACCTCAAAAGTTCGTGGAATTACTTCTATTTGCCAAGTTTTATTGTAATCGGTTACAGAAAAGTGTGTGAAACCGGACACCCCTAGTTTGCCACCATTAGATGTGGAGTATTTTCTTCAAATTTAAATGGGACCAATACTGAGGTACCCTCTTTCCAACAGAATCATCGATATCGGTTCACAAATGCTGAATAATCGTGTAAAACACACAAAAAAGCAGTAGAATGGAAAACCTCTTCCTTTTTTTTGAAGTCGATTAAAAAGTATTCTTTTGTTTTCCCTTCAAGAACTAGGTTGGATTCTAGGATTTCGATTATTAAAATGTTTTAAAAGATTTCTCTTTGCGCCTTCAAAACCATTTTTAGTTTGTCCATTTAAATTAGCATGAGAATATAAGCCATAGAACGCAGATGTGCGTGGCAAAGTCCTCCGCTAAAAATTAACATTTTTACAATAGTTCTGGTGAATCGTGTAGTTACTGTATAAAATACATGACTCAATGTAGTTTCTTGTATTGTGGTGGTGGGTGTGAACTTGTTAGGTTAAACAGCAAATCTCCAGTTTTGATAAATGATACTGATTTTCAGGGGCGTGTATAAAACGTAGCACGATATTACGTGGCGCTTGCGTGAGACAGCACGCGTGGCTCGACGGTTGCATTGTGGGCTGGCGCTCTGTCGTAGGCCGCTGGGTCCGCATGGAGAATACCACAGTTCTTGGAGAAGATGTCATCGTGAAGGACGAGCTCTACGTCAACGGCGGACAAGTGTTGCCTCACAAGTCCATAGCATTGTCAGTGCCTGAACCTCAAATCATCATGTGAACGAGGCAGTACCATTCGTATAAGTCGGATAAGTATCTTGACCCTAAAGACTGTTCCAAACGATGCATATTCACGTAGAAGTGGAACCTGGTCGCTATACCAGCTTGCTTGTAACATTACGAACTTCCAGTTAATAAGAATTAATAGATATGAATATCGAGGTGCTAAACCAACACGAAATCATCAAAGTCGCAAATAGTTTGAGAAGCTACAGCTCGTACAGACTGTTTCATAGAGGCTGACGGCAAGCTTGCGCGTGGAATGTAGCTGCGATGATTGGTGTAGTGTGAAACTACGAACCCCTTATTATTTTCATCTCTCTCATTACGCGTTCCCAGTATTTTTCCCGATTTCTGAAAGAGTTCCGTCTAACATTTACTATATAGTATTGGGTCCCTAAAATACCCGAATTTCCCTTTAAATGCTATTTTTATCACTTTGACAGATTGCTCACTTTTCACGTCTGATTTCCAGACCACGGCAAACTATCACACTGGCAGTTTCTGTGAACATTACTATTCACTTTTCCCAATGGTAATTACGCATTATTTCGTGAATTTCACATTCTAAAATCTTTTAAATGTTATGGCCCCATTGAAATAACTGATGATTCCTCCAACGTCAAGCAACAATAACTATGTGCTGTAGTTTTGTAAATATAATATAAAAATTATGGCGGACTACGCCATTAGCCAGGCTGGTACCTCCCCTCCTTATTTTTTATTATTAATATTGATCAAAAATGCCAACGTTAAGGCAGCAGTAAGGTATTTAATTTTGGAAGAACCTCTTCGACGAACTGCTGTTGTGGAGAGAATATACCTGAGGTGAAAAAAAAAACGATCATGGGCAAACAACAAACTAAAGCATAAAATTACTAGAGCATATAAAATCACACAAAATGTTAATAAAGGGAAAAACACATAAAGAAGAAGAGATTTCACCGATCAGCAGACTGAGAGTAAGCCACTCCTGTTCCCCTGTGTTCCTTTACGAAATTCGTGTCAGAGACAGATCTTTGTGTGAATGTGGTTTGTATGAGGTTACATTTTCCCATAGACGGTCCCATAAATTTTTCCTTCCTTTGATATAGAAACGAATTTGGCTGTAGAAGGTTGATCACATTTAGGCTCCTCATTATAAATTGAAAATTCCCCATTCATATTTCGATGCTCTTTTTCCCTCAACCAATTGTTCGTCATTCTTGTACCGACCTTGAAGGCATCTGGTCTTCACCAGATCTAGTAAATATGCGAAGTCTCACCTATCGAAGTCCTGCACCTGGCCTTACTCCTACCGCTCTTACGCGCCTGCCTGATTTTTCATCGATTACCTCACGCTAGACCTGGTCTTCACGTTTACGTTCCTCCTACCTGGACTGTGTACTTCACCTTCTCGAGCTTGGAGCAGCAGGAGCAACTGAAGCCGACGCTCATGATGAAGTAGAACTCCACCTCTGAGTACAAAGTGATATAATCCCACTGCTGTACTACCCACCCTTTCTCGTCATCATTCCTCTCTGCCCTTCGGTTCTGCAATACAGCCGCTATCTAGCTTACAACCTCGCTGCTCTTCGGTTCTGCACCTCTGTCCTCGGTCTCCAACAGTCGAGAGCAGAGGCCTCCAACTCCGTGTCTCCACCTTCTCCTATCTTCACCCACATACTACATTTACATTGCTCACCCTACTACGTCCCAGCACTCAGTTTCTTTCCACCAAACTATGAAATTAAAAACTTTTCTTAGTTTTTTACCACGCCAAAGCCATCTAACCCTACATTACGTATCAGGTACTCGGAGGCTGTAATAACATATCTGGTAACAGCTACTAGCCAAGACGATACGGATGTGGCTTAAGGGAGTTGGTTTGTATCTTTTGCACGCAAAATTTGTTAAATCTTCTCGTAAAGTCTTGAAACTCTTTTTCGTTATTTACCACTTTACACTGTTTAGTGTTGTCAAGATACTTGCCGTTTTGTATGTAAAATAGGAGAATGCAATGTACTTTGGTTGCATGAACGTCGTTTTAATTAACGATGTTATACTATACAGGGTGTATGATGATTTACTGAACGATACGTATTGAAGCCGATGATGATAGAACAGTGCGAAAGCAACGACTTTTATTTGTGTAGTGAACCATACCTAAAAACATACAATTTGTCAAAATTCTTTGTTGAAAAAGACAAGTTGTATATCTTAACTATGGCTGATTGTAATATTGTTTTTCAAAATTAGAAGCGAAGGTTTTGGCACACTTTTGACCACAGTTCTGTATCCACAAGCGGGTCGTTTTATTTGAAATATAAAAACATGGAATGTATCACAAGTTGTGTCGTTTTTGACCTAAGTTATCGCCAGTTTTATTATCGTTACTAATTCACCTAGCTGGAGGTATCTATAAAAAATTACTATGGCCAGGTGTGACGTTAGGCTTAATTTACATTGCCGCGGAACGGAATGCAACGGTGTGTCAATTTCCCCTCGCTGCGCGAGAATGTGCACGCAGTCGCTGGAATGCTCGAATATTGGCGATCTTGCTCGCGACTGCGTCTTGGGGCTGTAGTATTTCGTCAACGTTTGACATCACACTGCGCCTGTCTTCACGTCACTTCGCGCGGATTCACAAGGCGCCGTCTAGGCAGCTGTGGAAATTCCCGCGAATATTTGTATCTTTTGGCTCGTATCTAGTTTGTACATTACACAATTGACATAATGTTCATTATGCTATGTACAAAATTCGTTCAAATATTTCGTTACAAAAATCCGCTTCCATTCCGTTCCGCCGCAATGTAAATTGAGCCTTAGGTTAACCTGAATCAACCGTGCTTGAAAGATTTAAAAAAATTGACGCCGAGGTGACGACACAAAATGTATTTTCATATCGAGCTTGCATCACAAATAACCAAAGTGAGTTGTCTCAAATCGAAATCTATATTCACAATCCAGAGGGTTTACTTTTTCTTGTCTTGTCATCTTATGTCTTCGGCCCTTGAATGTACCCGCAGTAAACGTGCTTGTGCATCACGCCGTCGTTATTCTAACTATACGAGAATTGATGGAGTCTTGAGACAGATAATATGGTCCAAAATTCACTTTATTGCATGAGCACTTTCATTTTATTACTTCTAAAATAGTTAGAATATGCTATTACTTCTCAAAGATAAATTTTTTTTTTTTTTTTTACGTATATTTTATTAAAATAATTTAAATATGAATAATTTTATGTTTTTATTGCTTTGTTATTTTATAAAATAGCGGATAATTGTATAACATTCCTGTAAATTAATATTTTAGTCTCAATTAGACATTCGTACAGCTATATATAATTTAAGTAATTGTATATTAAATAATAATGGTACATATTTCATGAAAGCTGCCATTTTTACACCAAAATTAGACTAAGATTTTATAAAAGCCTTCTGTTTGACAATCAAGCAGTTATTAATACGTATATTTATTATGTTGCAATTAGTATTGTAGCCATTATTGTTACAATAAATTATATAATAAAATTGTATGATATAATTAACGTTTTCTTATTTCATTTATATAATTACCATGATATCACTGCGTACAAAAAATATACGAGAATCCTAATTTACTAATGTTTACTTCTTCTTCCTGTCCTTATCCCACGCTAGGTGGGGTCGGCACATCATGTATTTTTAAAAACAGTAATATCTATTTACTACAAACTCGAATCGAGCACATCCGTGAACTCACGCGTGGGTAAGTTAGGCTCACAAATTAAAAAGATATAGTTATGGCATTGACTTATTTATTTGTAAGTCAATGAGTTATGGTCGGTCTTATATCGTCATTGGTTATGCGTGTCAACATAATGGTGCATTTACACCAGGTCGTCAGCCGACCTTGGACAGACTACTTCGCATCTTTTTTTCAGGAGGAAAATCCGTCATGGATACCACGGTGGCACAGGGAGGCGCGGCGATTATTTGAGACTCCTACTCACTAAACCCCCCGGGTTTCCCCACACCTCGCATCAGACGGGGCGGGGATGACTATGTGGTTTACCTGGAGACTATTTAGGAATTGACTCTTGAACTCAAGTAATAGTGTTGGCGTCGATCGCCAAAATCTTTGTTATATTATTATTTCCTCTATGGCGGCCACTAGGCTAGTGCCAGTGTCAGTTTTATAAGAATAATATAAAAATTATGGCAATTTTCGCCAGTGTCAGTGAAAATATCATGAAGAAAATAAATCTATTATTTTTACAAAACTGACAAATTACGGCATGGTGCAAAGGTATCGCCAATAAAACAAAAAGAGGAAGACAAATTTAATATGGATAAGCGATGGACACATTGATGAAGAATAACCGTTCATCAACGGCGGGATTTTTGTATACAACTGTTTTTTTGTTTTTATAATACCAAGTGACGGGACGAACAAGTCGTGCGCCTGGTGGTAAGCGACACGCCTATCCATAACAGTTGTTGTGCCACTTGAAATCGCAAAGATCTTAGAATCACTGCCACTGCTCCCGTCACCCTGAGACATAAGTTGACAAGTCCCATGTGCCTGTAATTTCTCCAGCAAACAAAGTGTGTAATGGGGTGTGTTTTAAGGTTTTCAGATGAACCCCTGGCTATTCATATTAATACTTGTGTACAAAGAATAGATTGCTCTACTACAAATTACTAAGTATAATTGATTCCATCAAAAACATTTAATGTTCTAAGGGGACCAGTTCTCTTTGGGTTTAAGTTTATATAAGAACTTTATGTAGGTATGGAAAAGTACAAGTTAATTGGCAAGTTTCATCGCTTTGTAAAAGACTTTTTCGTGAAACAGCTTCGATATTATAATGTATATTTTTGAGTGGCTCTCAACTTTGTAAAAATGATGATATTAAATTTAATCATAATGATTTTTATGTACCAAGGCGATAATATATCTAATTTCCAGCGAACTAAGCCGCGGTCAAACTATATTATTGTGTTATTACTTATAAAGGTAAAAACCAGCCGACGCAGACATTGAAAGAAACGAAAAATTTATAAAAATCATGTATTTTGAAAATGTGGCGGCATAACAGGGTGCTCCGGATAACAAACTATGGATTTCCGTCAAGTTCCGTCGGCAAATTAGGGCTACCAACATTAAACAAACTGACAACTATAAAACGTTAACTACAGAGGTGGTCTTATTACTAGAGTAAAAAAATGTCGTATTTCATTATTTCTTCTAGTAACATTTCGACAACTTTCGTTTGTCAATTTTTATTGTCCTTTTACGAGTTTTAGGAATTGAACATGGATAATTCGTAATAAATTTACCAGCAATGGCTTCATCGGTGCAGAATAACCGTTCATCGCCGGCGGGATTCGTGTACAACTGTATGTGTTGCAAAGTGTGTAATCGGGTGTGCTTTAGGGCTTTTAAATGGATTCCTGTGCTATTGATAATTTCCATCGTAACTTGGTCCTATTATGCGTACGTTATTCAGTTATGCATTTGTGAGTATTCTATTTGTTTTATCTTAGCGTGTTCTCATATCTCTGTATGTCAAATGGACGTCATTGTTGGCCCAATTTTTGTTGCAGTTACAATTGAAAGCACTGTTCAAAAATGTGTGTATCTAGTGATATTCCATATACTACTCATCATGTTCGCATGGTCGTACTGGCGGACGATTTTTGCGGAAATTCAACCAGTTCCAGATAAGGTAATCTGAGATAAGGGTTACCCCATGCTCTCTTCACATAAAATAACGCAGTTTGTCTGACAACTTTCACTTTCATGACCTTATTAAAACAATATCAATGATTTTGTACTCTGTTTTGATTTATTTAGTAACCAACTTACAAAATATCATCATAACCTATTGATGTTTTCATGTAATTCTTTATCTACCCACCAAGTAACAATAATATAACATTAATGGCTAATTTTCTTGGAGAGGCCTAAGTCACTTTTTTAATATATAATTTTATTGCTTATAAAGGAAATGCATTTAAAAAAATGCCTTTTTAATTAAAAGTTTTTTTACATCAAATATCTGTGTATCCACACTTTAACTGGAGTCAAACATCATATGTTACATGTAGCCTGAGCAGAGTCAATTCAAACATTATATATACAATATGTAGGGCACATTTAGCCACAATTTAAGGAGCAGCTGCAATTATACCTTTATAGTAGAAATTATATCTGAAATTATCAAAATGATAATGATTATCAGTATATTCATGACATGTTTCGATAATATGATAAAATTTATTATGTGATACGGTGCTCTTTTCTAAATGATGTAGCTCATAGTGGGTTTTCAGCAAGCTATTTACTATATTTGCAAACAACTGTGTCATCTCAGGGTGCATACTTTTATTAACTCCACAAGTCTTTTCTGAAAATTATAGCCGCAAACTGCAAGCATTTTGTTTTATTTTGTTTTAACACATCCTTTGTGGACCTTCATAGGCCGTCCATAAGAACCCGAATTAGGTTAGTCACAGATCCGCACATGCCTCATCGGAAGTGTTAAGTATCAATTAACTATGTGACAATATTATCAAGTTCTAGACCTATAAAGGTGAAATACTCACCTCCAGAAGAAAACATGATATTCTCCTTTCTTTAAAAAGTTATGAATGGAAATGGCATTCTACAACTCTCAATTACCAGGGAACCATTGCAATATTTTATAGGTAGGACATGGAGACTTGCATTTGTTTAAGGGTTAACAAATGTGAAGCATAATGTTTAGTTCCCATGTATTTAGCTTGGTCCAATTATTATCGAAGATGTTGAATTTCATTAAGACATTACAAAAATGTAAAGGCAGTGCAGAAAGATTTTCTTTTTTTTTATAGTATCAAGTGATTATCTTACAGTTTAATGTGTTCACCTTTACCGTGAATGTTACCAATATGATATGCTATAATGCAAGAACAATTTTAACTTATTATTTGTCTAAATGTGTTTTAAGACTGATTTTCAGTAATTTTTTGTAAGCTCTTAAAAAAGCATAATTTAAAAATTCTATAATATTGTAAGAAGCAGTACCACCATTTCTAGAACATCCGCAGTGTGTGAACACCAGACTGTTCCCTTTTAAAATGTTTTGTCTTGTACACAGTATAAATGAAAAATGTAATTACAAGTATAGCATTTATGTTTCAAATTTTGTCCTAATTTGTACATTTCTTAGATTTGTTTCACAGGTATATAATATTAATTTTGATTTAAACATTTCAGTATAAACTGCCTGAACGTGAGTTAGAAAAGTTGTTAAGTGCAGAATCTGAGGAAGCACAGCGTAATATACTTGAAAGCTTTGCAAGCGATCTCCCCATAGTCACAAGGTAAATGCTTTTATGTTTTATTTGGTTATTGTCAATGACGTGTCAACAGGCTCCTGTGCTGTAGTATGCATTACAAGTCAATAATATTTTGTTGTGATTGTAAATATCCACTACACCGCCTCATCCTTCAAACTTGTCTGGTAGGTAACAAAGACATACTGAGGTTTCCCAAGACAATGCATCACTAAATTCACTTACATGCAATGATTCACTAATTCATGCTTTTTATTTTTATAATATCAAGTGAGGAGATGAACAAGTCGTGCGCCTGATGGTAAACTGCTCGCCTGTCCATAACAGTTGCAGTACCACTCAAGAGCTTTAAATCGCAAAGATCTGAGGCGTAATGCCACGGCGCCCGTCACCCTGAGACATAAGTTGACAAGTCACATGTACCTGTAATTTCACCTCGTCCTTACCCTTCAAATCGTAACACAATGCTGACATTACTGCTTGGCGGCAGAAATACGTACGGTGGCAGTACTTCCCTGGACGAATTCTTTCACAAGGAGCTCGACTGCTACTAATGCTATTCTTTACTCGTTAAGTATTTAAACGCTTTGCAATGAATTCGCATCATTTGGAAAAACTTGGCTTTGACCTTAGATAATCGCTCAAATCAGCAGAACTGTGAAAGAAGAAGAATTAGAAAATAAAATACTCGGTAGGGATTCGAGATTTCGCCTATTTAGTGTTTGAGATATCGACAGAATAAGCTATTCAGTAGTTATATCCTTTTGTAGATAACTTGTTTGTAATCAAAGCGACACGCGACGATTCATGCCATTACTTCGCGTTAAGCGCTCAAAATCTATTCTAATTTTATGTTATTTTATTTAGTCTATTTTATTCGGGACAACTAAAACTGAAATATATTAATGGATAACTGCCCTTAATACATTTTTAATACATCTTAACATACCTGTAACACCTTTTTTTAAATTACACTAATAATAATATTGACTTTGGAAATATTTCTCAATTAAAAAGTACTAGTAATAAACATAATAAATAATTAAACAAAATTAAATAATCTTGTCTTTCTTAAAAGAATAATAGATGAAAGAAAAACCGAAAATGAAGGTCATGAAAATGAGTAATATACAATTATATTATTAGTACATGGGTAGGGTATCAATTTATTATAATTGATACTCTCATTATATTATAATTGATACTCACGTACTAATAATATAATTGTAATATAATACATTCGTCTGGCAAATTTTGACGTTAGGTTTGTCTATCTAATTTCGGTGGTAATTTTTATTATTTGAATATTGGAGAATTATGAAGTATTATTTTAATATTCGAGTGTAGTAACCTGATATACTATTTCAAATTTCATGATAATTTACTCGAATACTTAAATAACAAATAAATTGCCACCGAAATTAGGCAGAGAATTTTGACCTGAAAATTACCCATACAAACATGATGCATTATATTTAATATAACAAATTGAAGGAATTAATCGTTTAGGGATCGCTTCTTTATTTCTTGAGTATTATGTTTTACCCTTACCATACACTTGCCTGATTGTTGCCCGTGGTATAACTCAATAGTGGAGGCTTTTTCTTTCAGAACTGCAATGTTCACATGTGGTATAGTACCTATTCATAGATATAATCCATTGTATAGGTATAACATTAAGTACCACCGTAGCCGTTTTTATTAACTAATTTGAATCTATAGGTTGTTCTTGTTACACCTCCAGCTAAGACTTTTTCTCAATTCTAGACTGCGACTGAAAATGAAATTAAAGATGCGACAAATATTTTGTAAATCAAAAGCACAAATTTTAGAACGATCCGCTGATATAATACCCGTACTGACGAGGTTTGTTATTTTATTGAATACTAGTAGCTAGAATTGAGAAATTATGGTCGAACAGTTTTTATATAAACTTTAGTAGCAGTAGAGTCATTATAAAAAAGTTCTTCCAGGGAAGTAGATACTGCCACGTTACCTGTTTCCGCCGCCACGCAGTATTGTGAGCATTAACTGCGTTCGGGTTGTGAAGGATAAGGTTGCTGGTGAAATTATAGGCTCATGGGACTTGTCGACTTTATTTCTCAGGGTGACTGGCGCAGTGGCAGTGCCCCTCTGAGTGGCACTGCAATGGTCAGGCCTGTCGTTTACCGCCCGTTACTTGGTACCATAAAAGAATAATAAGAGGAGTGTATCTAAGTTGTGAATCAAAACATTATACAAAATGTTTCCTCTAAATTGTCTTCATCACCTTTACTCGTACTATATCATATCGTAGTGTAGGTAATTAGCAGTAGGAACGAGTAGTTTACGCCTTAGCTGGAGTTGCATAGTTAAGTTGTCATACGTAAAACTCACGAAGGATTCCTTGTAACGTGGTGAGTTATATTATGCTCAGTTGAACTTGCAGCGTTCAATGGGAAAAATAAATTTTATTTTCCTCTATTTTACCTCGCTATGAACCATATAACACACACATAATGACGTCAAGCTCGTAGATGGGATTGGCGGTTAGTATGTTTAAGAGATGATTCATATTAAAACTAGTTTATCTAATTTGCAACTCGTATAATAATTGTCTCTTTTCTACTGGTGTTTATTCATTGTGATAACTGGCACAAGTAAACTTGATCTTCTTTAGGCCACCACGGCCTCTAAGATATTGTACACTTAACACAAGTAAGCTTTAAGTAAGGTCAAATTCTCTATATAAGGTATACGACCCATGTTTGACCTGACATGACCATGAATCATGCGTCGCTTACACGCCTCTTGGAACAATGCTATCAGTTGACAGTCATCTGAGGGCGCGTTCCCATTATGTCATAACGTTTTATTTATCGTTGGACGACTGCCGCGTCCAGCCTGTTCCCATATCTCGACTATCTATCATGACTGTGTCGTGGACGTTTATTTTATCGTTGAACGACTATCGTGTCTAACTAGTCCCACTAGAACGTGACGACAATGTATCGGTTCATTTGTGCCTTGTCGTTTGCACGACGGAATTGTTTGAAGCTGCGATGATGTTGTCACATTTTTATGGTGACGTTTTATTTATCGTCACACGACTGTCGTTCTAGCTCTTCCCATTATTACGACAGTCAGCCGTCATAACATCAAAAATGTCGTAAACATCAGTTAACCGTGTTTTACTAAGCAAGTCACGACACTTTGAACGGCACGACTGTCTGTCGTCACGACATAATGGGATCGCGCCCTGAGAGATTGACCGAATTAATTAAACCGGTGCGACCACAACCGGCTGGCCGCGTAAAGACGGACCTCCGTGAAAAATGTGTATTGTATATGTATGGACTTACTGCTCTTGTTATATGAAAAATTCTTTCTTGATTTGACATGGTGATAATAATTCATATAGGTGTATATATCATATAGTTCTAGGGTTTTCTTTTGGAACTAACACCATTATCTTATGGGCTATGGCCTGAAATAGATGGTTTATTATTATTAATGTAAAGACAGATTTAAGGCCACAGCAACGTGACCGCAATTTCGCGAAACACATTATGCCACCGATATTAAATGGTATTTATGTTAATAAAGTTGACTGAGTTACACTAGAGATAATTGTCTTTATCCCTTTTTTTTATTCACCGCCACCGCACTGACGCGACTTTTCAGCTATATTAAAATAATGTGTATGCATAAGTAACATGTTCCGCCTATATTGCGGCAAAACGTTGTACGCAAATTGCCGTGACCTTTGTGGTACAAGGAGGTAATCTGTTTCAGAACAATGTCTGGCTCGGTGCGTTATTGCAACCGATGCGTGCTGGTGAAACCGGATCGAGCGCACCATTGCAGCATATGCGCGCGCTGCGTCCTCAAGATGGACCACCACTGCCCGTGGGTCAACAACTGTGTCTGCTACTTCAACTACAAGTTCTTCATGCTTTTCCTCGGCTATGCTCTCTTGTACTGTCTCTTCATCATGGCGACGTGCCTGCCTTACTTCATTAGGTTCTGGAAGGTAGAGTCATTTTTATTCTAACGCATTTTTAACAGTCATGTTCGTTTTGTGTAACGTGTGAGAGTAAATAATAAGTCGCGTATAGATTTATGTCGCTGTCTGTTGTATAGTGAATATTTCTTTAAAAAAATTTGGGTTTATTTTTTATACTGGAGTGGATAGAAAACAATCAACTCTTAAACATAGGCGGTTTGCTTGCCGTCGTTATCAAAGTTAAACCAATTTCTGTGCAACTATAATTAGAGGATTGTTTAGCTTTTAAAGTACTTCAATGTTTAAGAAATGTTCCAATGGCACCGATAGCGTTGTGTGTATAATTTGTAAATATAACAGAGGCATTAAGAGCAACTATGATGTAAGCGAACGTAAATATAACAGGAAAGAACTTTAACAAATATAATAAGAAGAAGAAAGAAATAAACATGGAAACGACCACGTGAACGAAAGTGACAAAAATTCTAAAATACGTGCAGTCGTTAATATGTTGCTATTGTGGTTGATGCGTCAATGTAGCGCTCAACGCCTCACAAATTTGTTTTGGTCGTGCAATGTGTAAACTGTTTGTTTTGTTTACGCAGCTTGTAAACATGCCGCTTAAAGGAGTCACCACACTTATCGACATGGAATCGTATTAAACCGGTCAGAAAAATCTTGATGTCCATGTAATAAAAGCGAAAATGACGTTGTACGTTTCGCGTCGGCGATCCGAGTAACGTATTTCTCGTTCATATTGCATGGACATAAAAGTTTAATGACCGGCTTAAGGCTATTCTGTGTGAATAAGTGTGGCGAGTCCGTAACACAACACTTGCTATGGGATAATCACTAGGGTTTAGTTTAAACGTGTTTTCCAGAATATTATTATTTACGCTCATTGTAAACCGAAATAAGTAACACGCGCGTCATTAGAATTCATGAGTTACTATTGTGCGGGGTGTATGGAATTTGACGAAAATTTTGTCAAGGTATTACACATGTTGGTAGCGCGATCTGTCTGTTTTAACGCGCAATTCCTTAGCACGCTGTCGATAAGAGTTACATTTGCAATTAAATTATTAAATATATTTGTTCGAATAACAACACGTGGATCTATTATAAATAACTACCAGCGGCTGTTGTTTATACACTCTTAGCGGAACAATTGTAAAAACCGTAAACTATTGCGACTTTTTTAAAAGAAGGTCCGGCTATTTTATTTTTTTAAATTAGGTTCTATTTTTTCTATAAAAAATTAATTGACTTTTATTTATCTTCTTTATATATCTTTATTTTCCATTATTTTTTTAGCCATTATTTTCAATTTATTTGTTTTAATTTCCAACTAATCCAGGATTATCGAGCGGTTCGAGGTTGATTTTGCGTTCTTGTAAATTTCGTAAACATTATTTGTTTATATATTAAACTTTCATGTAATCAATGTTAAACTTACAGTTTTTACATTTTCAACCGTTTCTGCTTTTGTCATTAAATGTAAAAAAAAGTTTTGATTAATTTCGATATTTTTCAATAAAGTTTGTGTAATGCTGCCGTAAGTCGATGTTAAAATATGTCCATGCTATTTTTATTTATCCTACTGTCCATTTCTTATTTATTTAAATATATTCGTTACTATATTATATTCTCACTACTTTTGTTCATATAAATATGACAGTGCGTGTACTTTTCTCTGTAAATTCTCTATCGATTGTTCCTTACACCCTGCTTATTAGGCGCATGTTCATGTGCATGTGATATTGCACGTAATTGTGCCCTTAGGAAAGTTTTTTTTTAATAGTTATTGTAAATTGTATGATAACTGACATGGAGGTTACTTGCAAATGACACCCGTATCAAGTTAAAATAACATATGATGATTGTTTTACTAAAGCTCTTTAGCAGTGGCGTAATAAGTATTCATAAGAGATCGGTTTTTTTTTATCTAAACATCAAGTAATACGTATAGAATGAATAATACTTTCCTCTGAAATCGTAGAATAATCAAAAATAAAAGGCAAACAATTGAAACAAAATGGTTATAGTTACAAAACTTTTGTTTTAGATAAATACATTGTGGTCAAGCGGGTGTCTATTAATTATATTAAAAAAATATATTCACATTATCGGAATTTAATAATTGTTTGTTACACATATACAGAGTATTTTTTTTAATGGGACAGCCATCATCACCACTAAAGAAATTAGTCAATTTTGTTCATTTTGTTCGAAAAACATTTTATGACATTTGACCAACTTCTGCTGTCCCGATTTTTTCGCCCCATATAATGAAATGATCCCTTCATGAAACAGTCGATCAACATTATAAAAAAAAATTGATCATTTTATTAATTTTCATAGACAACTCAAGCTTGACCAAAAAATTTACTATGTCAAAATTGTTTTCACTAAAAAACACTTTATGATTAAAAAAACACTCTATATATTAAAATACAGTAGTTCTGGGACTTCAGTATATTCTTCCTTAAAGTTTGGATAAAGATAGTCCACCTGTGGGGCATTTGGCAATACATATTTATTTTACTGGGGTGCTCAAAAAGACCTTTGGATTACGAGCTTTACGAAGAGCACAATATATTTTGACCGCGCATTTGTCAATGTTCATTTTATATGGAAGCCGTGCTACGACACGATGGGTGTGTTGAGCCGTGGTATCTCTTTCATCCTATGTTACCTACTCGAGCACTGGTCATTTTTCCAGTGTTGCCAACATGTTGTTATGCCACTGCACAGTGAAAAATGTTTGGAAATTGAGTGTTTGATGATGTTTCCACAGATATATCAGGAATACAAGCATGCCCACTGCGACCGCTTGACACAGAATGGAACTATAATATCTAAACAATGCATGGATATGTTGAATGTAAACGGATTTCCTTTTTCTTTAGACCGCTTTTAACGCTTCACCTTTAGAATGATGAATGATAGTTAGTGCACATCGAAGTAGCTTTTTTAGTAACTTTAATTCTTTCGGATACCATACTAGGGTTTTTTTTATTATAAACCAGAAATCGTCGTGTTCTTACGTTTCCACGATGTTCTTTTCTTTTTCGCAATGAAAACAGTATTGCTGTCCAACTTGCATTAAACCAAATAGTTACCGCAACTGAATTCTAAGTTTTGACGAATTCAATACACTATATATGTATGACACATATGTTATAATGTCAACATACATTATATAAATAGTGAGATGGCTTATCAATACTCAAGTCCTGACTTGAGTATTGAGTAGAGTTCTGGAATACGTCCCCTAAGACCTGATAGAGCCCCGCTGACTAAGTGTAATGTGAGCATGCGGCTTGTTCATAGTATATCTATGAACAAGCATACAAAACATACGCAGGGTGACTAATAATAATTTTGATAACTTGCTTTACATCAGATAATTTTAGTTACGCTCTATTGGATACTCCTTCAACGTAGGTTTGGGCTATTAATCTATCATTATTTGACATAATTACTTTTATCATGGTATAACATACTGAGTTAGTTGAAATGTATTTGTAGCAATCAACAGTTAATTAGATAATTTAGAATTATAACAAACGCTTATCACTATGTAGTGCAGGCCAAATGTCAGACATCAATTCTCATCACTTTACATCCTGAACATACGACACTAGATTGTAAACAACTTGTCGTAAATATATTTTTTATCACTTATATTTTGTTCTACATTGTTTAAATTTTGTTTGCCGGTATCGCAGTGGGAATGGCTTCTTTATATGTTCTTTGTGTACATCATGAAAGCATTTAAACAATGTGGAACTTAGTAGATTTTCTTTGCGTAGTATATTAATGCGCTGTGAATTATCAAATTTTTTTCGTTTACTTTGACACATTTGCAATATTGTGTGTACCTTTTAGTAAAAAAATTGCGATTTTTTTAAATGCAAATGTAAGGGACAGAGTCTTTTCGTCCAATAATCGTTTGTCGGAATGACGACAAACTTTATAGAATTTTTTTTTTTAAATACGCCTTATGATATCACATGACCTCGAGATAGAGCTGATATTAGCAGAATAGCGGAAGCACCTATTTTCCGTGTCAGTGGTCGTCTCACAATGCGTTTCATTTGTTGGTTACATATTAACAACCCAAGTTATCACATTTCAAACGTAAATAAAGCTATACTGCGGACTGAAAACACAATGTCTATAATCGGGGGTCTGTTGCCTGCGGTACCCAGTATGCAGTCTGCACCGTCCTTGGAAATAATTCCTTAATACAAAATCCGAACACCAATTTCGATATTAAGACTAACGATCCTAGATTACGATTAGGCGAAAGATGGAGGTCAGGGTCATAGCAAGTGGAAGGCTGTTTCTTTGCGCACCTCTATGGGAAAAATGCGTGAAGTGTATTTATATATCTATAGGTTATTTCTACACAATGAAATAAGATAAATCCGCCTAGAGATGTGTTCCTAGAGATGTTCCTAACTATTTCTGTAAATTTTTTATATATTTTCACAATTTTTTTTATAATATAGAAATAAATGTAAGAAAATCTACTGCACAGCTGCGCGTTAAATAGACCCTATCACGCTAGAACGCTATAGTGCCAAAGTCTTTAGAGACACTGTGTGCCTCTAGGACACGTGACAAGTTAATAGAGAACTTGCATTAATATGCCATTGAAGGTTCATTTAAGAAGTGACAAAAAAGTATTTCATATTATTTTAGAAACATAGCAACAACCTATGAGCAAAAAGGAATAAACGGTTCTACGTAACAATTTATCACTTCCAATAAGTGTGACCTTTTTTCCTTTGTTGTTCTTTTATTTTTAATATTAAAAGTTGCTCATAATGATGTTTATATTTTGCCTATGATTTAGCACTACGTATATACATCATATTACAATTGCGAATTTACGTTAATGATTTGAAAATAAGAGGTACTTTTAATGTGAATTTATAATCTTTTTAACTGCCTCTGTCGCCGAACGGTTACCACGCTGTACTGCCATGCAGAGGTTCAGGGTTCGATTCCCAGACTGGGAGAAATATGTGTATGGCCTGCATTTATTTCTCTCATGAGTTTGGGTGTAATTTGTGGTTATCTATTTGTGTGTCCATAGCACCCGCGACTCAAGGGTTTCCCTAGTGCTAGGAGTATATTGAAAAAATCTTGGGTTTTTCAATGTTTTGTTATAGTATAATAAATTATTAAACAAATAACAGCAATATGTCCTTATCAGTCATAGTAAGAATTAGGGCCTTCAGTCTTGCGGCATTTTCGCGTACCGGGAAAAAATCTCGGTACTGTCTCGAAAATTACCGGAAAAACGAGAATTTCATGGAGAGGCTTCAGTTGACCTACTTTAAAACGTAACAACAAGTTTACAGATAGCAAAACTGCTGTAAATAAAGTAATAAAACTATTTTTAATTCAATTAAAACAAAATGATGTTCATTTAAGTGAGTACAAAATTCTGTATTCCAAGCAGTTGTTCGAAGTAGGGAAACTAAAGCTCTATTAATGTCATATAAAATGTGTACGAGCGTTTAACTTTAAAATTTTGGATATGTGTAGTTTTATTTATAAAAAGTTTTTGATGTCGTTGTACTCATTAGTACTTTCGATATCAGCTTAAAGGTTTTTTATATCTTTTATATTTACGGAATAATTCCCTGGGCACTTAACGATTACACCCGGTATACTTCCCGTAGTTTGTGCCATCTACTGCGATCTTGCACTATCCTCACTCATCTATGGCCCGCAACTTCGACAATGTCGTCTACCGAAACTGCTATAAATATTAGATTGTCACCTCACAATCTATATTTCGTTACAGTCAATATAAGGGTTAATATTAATCTTCAGTGCTTGTTGCGAACGTGAATCGATGGTACGAGGTTGCTAAAGCGAATTTTATTAAATGTGTAATATTTATTTCAACAATAATACCCACTTTGGTTGCCCAACGATTTGCACTTTAGGCGCTGGACGAGTAGGTCCCGGGTTCGATTCCCGGTAGGAGAAATTTGGAAAATGACTGGTCTGAATGTTTTGAGTCCCGGAATAAATTCCATTCCAGGTTCTCATAGCACAAGAAAATTCCCTAGTTTACGACCGGGCAGTTGGCGTGTTTGTCTGGCACATTATTATTATTTATGATAATTATCTATTCTAGATTATTTTTTATTACAATTATGATTTTATATGATGATATATCTTACATGATAAAATATCCAGTTATGTTAATTGCTGACGGACATTCATGCAATTATTTGAAATTAATTAAAACGATAATACACAATAATAATATGGCTCCTTAACAGCGACCGATAATGTCGTGACGGAAACTTGTTAATTTCTTGAATTATGTACTATGTGAATGGACTCGGTTTTTGCTGCATGTTGTTACTTATGGGTGTCAGCATACTTATTAACGCAGTATCGGCTTGAGCCGGAATAAAATTTGATGCAATAAGAGCGAAAAGACATTTTGGCTTCTCGGTATTACTTGGACGTAATGCTTTTTTTGATGCGATTTCCATGTCGATAAATGTGGTGACTCCCTAAGGCTGAGATTTAAAAAACGAAGTTTACCTTCGACTAAAAAATGGCGAGCTAAGCAAGTTTTTGTATTATATATACGAAACGAACTTTTGAGCAACTTTAAGAAAGAAAATAAAATTAATTACAGTTGAAGAACTATAATTTGCACCGATGAATCTGTTGGAACGGCTTATCCTTTCTATTACAATAGGGTATTACTCAAAGCGTACACGGATTTAAGAAACTTGGTCCATCGTACCAGTCATGGGTACGCCAAATGCATTGTCTGAATTGTAGTTTTTAACTATTTCTTCACTCAACAAGTCATCTTTTTTATAACGTAGATATCTCGTAAATTACCGACTGCTGACACTTTTCTGACTAATTCAACAAGTTCTTTACGCATAAATATTATCAACTTTGGAAATAAGTGTCAATGCGTAAAAGTGTTTAAACTAGTTGTTTGCACAGTACAGATGGCACATGCGTTACGGAGACGGTTTTCTCTTTTGTCCTATTGTACTAAGATGAAGTGGTAAGACGAATCGGTGTGAATAATATTTCGCCAACTATACTTTCTTATTTTTGCTTAAAGTTCGATTTAAGTTTGTTTTGTAAATAAAAAAACCATGCATAGCTCGCCATTTTTGCTTAGTTAAAGTTCGTTTTACTCTGTTTTTGGTTTACTTTGGTTTGGTTTAATGTGTCTGTTTTTGGTTTAGCATTTCACACATTAAACGCACACTCAAAGTCGTTCTATGAATATGTAGATAGAACGAGAGTGTATAGTTATGAAATGTGTAGTTGACGAAATAACAATTTATTTTATATTTGTAAATGACTGTGCATGGTGGTGGTAGTACAAATACGTAAGGTCATGAAGCCGAAAATGTTATTTACGACTATGGTATTTTTTACAAAAAAGAACTGTATTAAATTAAAATTCCACAGACTGGAGTTATCATGGAGGATGGCGACTTAGAAGTAACGAAGGTATATATACATATATATATTTTGTTTTAAATGAAACGATATTTTTATACGTTGTCTACCACCACCATATCGACTTAATAAAATTCATTGATAGGAGCAAAAAAGGTATTTTTTGCTTGTACACATGTGTATGGCTAGCGAAATATTTTAATATTTGCATCGATTCTTCTTATCGCTGTGTCTTCCTTAGAGTACAATAGGACAAAAGAATGTCATCTGTATAATGAAAACAAATAGGTTAAACACTTTACGCATTGGTATTTAATTCTTAACTTGGTAATCTTTATGCTAACTTTGTTGAATTAGTATGAAAACAGACGAGCAATCGATATGTTACGAAGTACGCAGGAGTTAAAAAAA